GTGCTTAGGGTGTTTTGTTATGTAATTTGCGTCTTGTCTATTTCAGATTGGATGTGGGGACAACGCTCTGGTCTAGGCAAGCGTAGTTGGGGTGTTTCATGGGAAAGCCTGCGGGTATGGGGAATCGCAGTTGGGAGGGATAGGTTTTTTGTCGAAAATGTGGGCAGGTAATTTTTCTCTGCTTTCTATGGGCCCGTGGCGGCGCTATAAGGGAAGAGATTGACAAGATAGGTGGTGGGCTTTGGTTCTCTTTTTTTTTCCCCTCCTTTTTTCTCCTTGGTCCTTTCCGTGAGACCAGGGTGAAGCCTGTAATCCGAACAGGGTAGGGCCATGTGGGGAAATCCGCTTCGTACACTCACGGAAGGACCCCGTTCCACCAAAGAGCCTGTGGGTGCACAGGTGGATTGGGCTGACGGTGGGCACTAAATTCATGTCAGTTGCGAATACCACAGACTATCGAAGCGCCCTAGATATGCGTGTTGGGGTCCAAGTCCAGTTTCCCACAGGTGACTATGCGGGGGAGTGACCAACCATGATTTAGGGTTTACCGGCTGCAGTAGTGGTTGGTGGGGGATCGTGGAGTGGGGAATTGCGTAACCAGTGGATCGATGGCCGAACACACTCTCCACCGCCAACCCCAAGTTCTACACTTCTAAGGAAAGGGAATTGTTTGAGGCAATTAGAATCACCCCAGCGTAGCACTGGTGGGGGAGTTCATGGATAGCGTAGAGGGTGATTCGTCCACTCGAGGGCTGATACAGGATGGTGGTCGGCGGGTTGCCCGACGCTGGCTAGTTAAACATTCTATTACCGCAGCCCGTTCTATGTCAGTCATAGAATGCATAGAGGCCCACGGACAGTTGAACGAAGCACAAGCCTTTAAGATCAGATAATTAGGGGGAAATAGGTTTACTATTACATTCTGCTTTACCGTTCACCTATCAAGCACAGAGGCAGGTAAAGCTTTTGATGCTTCTGCGCCGGTGGCTATAGGCGCGGGGGGTATCGGGAGATAGCACCATCGGCGGTAGATTTGGCTGGAGTAGTAATCATGGCTCACCGAAATGCATCACGGTTTAAACACTAGTTAAAGGGGGTAGAACCATTCACACGAGTGATGGAATATGATCATTGTAAGAGGGTTTTGGGCAGATTCTTGAAATTGCCTTGATTATAAGGGGTTCACACCGCATAATGGGATATGCCCTGGGGGGGTAGAAATCCGGGACTTTATCAGGGAAAGGGTGAGCAATGTGTCTGGCTGTTTGACCTGGTCCCTAACACGGAGAAAGCTGGGGAAATTTCCTCCCGCTTCTCTCGCACCCCCACTGGAGACTTCCTTATATTTAGGCACATTTCTTTTCCTGAAAGCATGCTTCGATTCACTCAGGTGTGGGGAATCGTGTGCTAGATAATTCTAGGCACCCTGAAAGGGTTACGGACATCGGGGAGATGTGGAAGAGCAAGGATGATGAGTGTTCACTCCAGTTCACAAACCAAGAATCAAATTCTCCCGGAATGCTTGCTCGTCGGGTTTTTCGGCCATATGATCGTTATCTTAGTGGCGCGACTGTTCACTGTTTTTACCTTAGCAATTGGGGTTTTTAGTTCACAGGAGTCGCTGGAAAATGGTTGGTAAAATTATCGGGCCCCAGTTTGCTGCTGCTAGGGAAGGCGCCTGACCTAAATATGAGGTCAAATATGTTTTCCTACTCCTTCCTATGCTAGATCTACACAATATTTTCACAGACCAATGCCTACAAGGTTCAGAGATATCTTTTAGAGACCACCGCTTGTGCAAGAATCTCGGGTCGCATAGTTTGGCGCTGGGTATACCTGAGCTGGATTTGAGCGTCATCGCAGCTAGCCTTCAGGCTTAATTAGAATTTGTGCCCTCGTATCTGGAGGTTGGCTTAGATAGGGTCGGATAGGGTCGCGGTGTGTAATGGGAACGGGCGAAGATAAGGCGGGGACTGGGTTAGCTGGTGCAGGGATAAGGTGCAGATCTCCGCACGGAAATATATAGGACGAGTCGCATGACTCCCGTGATGATCCAGACTTTTGGATATTGGTATCTGTGATCGAGTATCCTACCCTAATTTGATTTTGCTCTAGCCGGTTAGCGACGATGGGCAACTACAAATTCGACGGGTAGCCTCCGTGAGGTGTTTTGTTGATCAAAATGCACTGAGGTCCGAGGATCCTCGGCAGGGGTCTGCCCTGGACCCCGGGCTCTTGCGGTATCCACTAATATTCCTCACTACTCAAACAGGTGGGCTCCTGAGATATACTAGTCTTTCACCGTACCGAATTGTTTAGCTAGCTTTTGGTGATAGCTTATATAGCTGGGATTTTTCCACCCTAGATTCTGGAGACAATGGTATCTTTGGAGATAAGCTTTCTAACCCCGCATTGCGGATGTGCGCTTGGTTGTGTGGCGATTTTCGGGGAAAATTGGAAAGTAAGCAATCCCTCTCTTGATAGCCGAGTTAAAACTAGGGGCATTTTTCCTATATCGTTAGATCTATCTTAACGTATACTAGACATCGTATGATTATTGAAAAAGAATATGGAAAGCTCCTGACTTTATTGGGCAGAGAATATGGGGCCGTCAGAATTCCTAACTTGTAGGGTTTTCTCGGTAGAATTATAGTGTTCCTACATCCGGCATTGTGGAGATTGAGCAAATTAGAGGGCGGTGAAGCTTTCTTTCCCTCACATAATCTCACTCAGGATGTACTGGGGGGAAGTGTTTACTGATATCTTTTATCCTAGAATTCGTGACGTCTGGCCCCTTGGGTTGGACGCAAAGTCCCGAATGTGATAACCGTAGGCCCGGATTAGTGTATTAGAATGTCATCATGCTACTTTTCTGTTATAAGTTACTCATGCACAAGCCCCCGATAGTGATTAGTTAGATCACTGAGATCCTTAACCCAACTAAGATCCTCTATTGCTCACAGTGAAACCTAACTTTTTTTATAGCTAATATTTCAGCTGTGGTTATTTCACACGAAGAGGTTTTGCCATTAGACATCGGCGATCAGTGTTTATAATTTCTCTTCTATTTGGATACATCTACTCTGGAGGGTTTTGGCATTTAAGGGGAGGGGGTTTGGCCTCTGGCGAGGAAAGGATCCAGGCCGAACCGTCGGCGGAATAGGTATTTATCAAGGTGATATTTCCCGAGTCACCTAGCTGGCACGGTGGCTAGGACCTCAGTGACTGATCGGCTCTTATGCGATTGGTAGGATATTGGGAACTTCTTCTTATTATGAGCCACCATTGGGCGGTCCATTAGGTTGGCTGGGAGAATTAGGAAGCACTGCCTTAGGGAAAATGGGGGGCTGAAGACCTCAGCCTTCCCCACAAGCTTCCTGTGGGTTAGTCAACTCAGGTTGGAGATGAGCGGACCCGGCCCAGCCCAAATCCATCGAGAGTTCGACCTAACCCAAATTAGCGAGCTATACCCCGGGATGGAATGTTGGGCCCGTTGGGTCTTCACAAGTACCAAACTGAGGGAAGTGGTGGGGGATTAACGAGAGCGAGATGGGGGGATAGCCTGTTGCTTTAGGCCCACAATGGAAGTGAGAGAGGACGGGGATCATCGTCACAGGATGGATAGCTCGGGGATGAGCGGGGGGCTTTGGCATCATTCTCACCATGTATACGCTCTGCCACAGTAACTCTCCCCCTTACCCTCCTTGCTTCAGCTATTACTGCTGCTTTCAGAGAGCTTTGAATTGACCGTTGGGTCTAGTTTACGAATTTTGATTTTGACCGTCGCTCCTGGTGGATGGAATGAACGCGTGTTAAGTAGGTTGCTGGCTTTTGATCCAACACCGCTTAGGGAACCCCGGCGAACATATAGCAGCATATGCCCTCAGCAGCTATCAAGCATCAGGTTGAAAGTTTAGTACCTGTAAGTTCATTATTCCTTGATCAAGGACCTATGGAACATCTTCTACTATAGTTAGATTTCCATCAGGAGATTTCCATCAGAGACCCCGGCGGCCCCTATACCTATATGGATGGGAACGAGTTTGGAGCTAGTAAACAAATGGGGGCGTGCTTATGTTTGAGCTGAAAACCCGGGAGTGGTCTGAGGTTCATGGGATTGATGGTGGGGTTCATAGGACACTGCTGATATCTGAGGAGATCCTCACAGCTGTCGATTATCCATTGAATGGTTTGAGCACTGATGTTTTGAGGGCTGAAAGAAGGCTGGGTTTGTGCAGTGCTGTGGGAGGGGTTTTCCTGGATTTGCTATTTTGATGGGTCCAACATTGGAAAGACTGGGAGCTTTTGATAGCTCAAGAACACTAGAACTGAAAAAGTTTACTATCTCGTATGAAATATCTTGGCTGACGATCCCCCGGTACCTTTTGCTTCTCACAAATAGACTAGTTGATGGCATGCCGAGAATGATAGGATAGCGAGGTCACCTTTACCTCACTGGTTCTGTACCATGCTGGATTAGGAGCAAAATTGAGGGTAAGATAGATCCGAGGAACATAATTGAGTACGTAACCAGCAAATAGATATAGTAAATAGGAGACCTTCATAAAGCTTTACCACCAAATCTCTAAAACAAAGAGATCCCTATTTTCATCTCTTTTCAATTTGAAATTTCTACGCCTTCCAGAGCCAGAGGGAGTAAGTTAAGCTGGGAGGACATCATAAGGCGAGTTGGGGGTCACTTGGTCGGTTAGGGTCAATGGATGCACAGAACCGTAACAGTGCGATCCCTTCAAGATTTGTCCAGCCGGCCGTCTACCCATACTCCAATCGGGGGGGGGGGGATTGAAATAAAACATCGACAGATTGTTTCTTTCATCTTCATTTTCATCTTTTTCCTCGGGACCCTGAACACTTTAATCGTGGCAAAGTCAAATGGAGGAGTGAGGTATAATATATAGGCATAAGATATTAAACTTGGTAGTGATCCGAGGAAATATCCACAACTACTACGGATGTGCATCTTCAAGATATGTTAGGATACCGTGGCTGTAGCATCGTCAATTAAGCAGTAAAATATAAAGACAGTATCTGCAGTTTGGACCATTCTCAGGTCATTCTAACTCGTTCTAATCCCTCCGCAATCGGATCCTGAGCTACCCAAAGAAAAGGCTAAGCAAAGAAAAGATAATCCAATGCTTAGGGGAATAGGAAGAGAAACGGGGGTAAAAACAAGGCTGTAATAAAGTTTTCTAGAGCTATCGTCCCCAAAGGCCTTCTTCCACTATCGCCCTGCATTCCGCTTCAACATCGCTTCCAACTTTCCATCGTCTCAAGGCCACTCCATGTTCCTCACAAACCGCTTGCGCCCGTTCCCACCGTCGTCGCCATAGTCCTTCCTTCTTGCTAAGAAGGGTCTCTTGTGTTTGGGTGGAGGAGGGGTATGTTGTTTGATGCTCAAGACCTGTTGCTATTCGGCGAGGTAGCGGCGGCGGCAGTGGGGTTGATGGCGTGTGTGGAACCTCGACATGTATAGCAGGCGGTGGTAAAGGTGAAGAGGAGCTTTTTGGTACCCCTCGGAGCTCGCGAGGCTTTGGGGGACGGGGTGGAGGTGCCCTATTGCTGTTCCTCGAGGCTTGAGCCCTAGGGCGAGGAATCGGGGGCGGATTATTGAAGCCAAGTAGATCGACCTCCTGCGGTATCGGGGAGGTAGTTGTTCTTCTTGGAGGAGGCGGTGGAGAAGGGAGAGGCTTTCTCCAGTGGACTTTGCTCTCAATTAAAGGTTCTGATTTGGTACTTATGAAACTATTGGCGTCGAAGAAGCCTTCTCCTGCATCAGTACTCGTAACATCCCGGATAAAGACACCGAGGACTTTTCCAGGGAACTTCTGGACAACTTCTGTATAGACCTCTAAATCAGCTTCCCCCGAGTCGCCAACAAGGACCCATTTTCGGTTTGGAAAGTCCCGGATGACTTGCTCCACCGTGGCTTTCTTCCGTTCGGCAACGGGTTCGAAAATACCTTGCAACATTCCCGAATATTGCTTTAGGTGCATACTGCCTGGTGGCAGACCAGCTTCTTGGAAAAACTCCTTCAGAACAGGATACAGTTGCCAAGGGCTGTTGGAAATGTAGTGGAAATTAGCATTATAGGGTTCCTCGGCAAGCTTTGAATACCAGCCGGCGACCCCTTGAATGATAAGATCGGGCAATGGAGCCGTAAATGTGTTACGAAATATTTCACGGGCGCCCATCGAAACAGCAGAGTGCTTTACTGTGTCGTCAATGTCGGAGATCACAGAGAAACCTTCCGCGCGGTGAAGCACGACCCTTTCATTGGCGGAGAGGGTCTCTGACGCGAGGACTTTAACATGAGTGGGTATGAAAGGAAGTGCTATTCGAGTGAAGAAATGACCGGCGTCCGATGTTCGGAGGGTACGAGATTGCGACATATTGGAATTATACAAAAAGATGGTGACTGGCACCGAAGCGATAGGGCGATGCATAAATGGAGCTAACCGGGACATCAAGGCGTTATGTGCCACACCGGTATCTGGCTGAGCTGGGATTTGCGAGCTCGCGGGAGATAGGTTTACGCTGAAGGTAGGCACGGATTTGGTGCGCTGAAGATCTAATACTGGTAATTGTGCAGCGCTCGGGTTCGCTGCCAGGGTTGTGCCTTTAGCTTCTGTGAATGCAGCATCTGCCTCCGCTGGTGTGGGCCCAGCTGCCGGGGGAACATGGGCAGGAAGACCGCAAAGCTGCCGGGCAACCCAGATCAGATAGCGGTTTTTTCTGCTTAATGGGCCAGAGTGGGGAGTGAAAAGCCACCCACGAACATCCACATCGACAACATTATCATCTCTCTCGTCAGGTTGCTCTTCACCCCACCAATTATTATTCCCTAAGTTCATCTGAAAGGATGGCATTCCCTGAGGGCCTGGGGGCCGCTCTCTAGCGTAACAGGGAAATAAGACTAGCTCTTCATCGCCACCCTTCATAATATCAATGTCGGTCCAATCCCCTTGCTCTTCCGGGCCGCCCACATGCCCCTTCTCCAGCTCTACCGACCTGTTCGTATACCCTGCCGTGTAGCTCTGTCTCAACTCATTCGCGGTTTTCAAAAAGTCGGTAATTCTTTTCCGGCGTCCTCCCCTTTCCTGCCCGCTATCCTCCGGAGGGTCTGCTAGTCCAGCAACCGATCTATAATAGCTCCCCCAGGTGTTTCCAGTTCCTGCTTGAGATTGCATGGGTCCAGAGGCACGCCACGTAGCTGACCTCGTTTTTGGTGTAGTCACTTTCCCGATAGCTCGTCCTTTCCGCGCGAAGTTCCCCCTCCTGAAAAATCGGTGGAGAAGGCTCGCACGGTCAGCAGGGGAGCTTCGGCGGCGAAAGTTAGAGGTGGCAGTGATAAGCCTGTAGATGCGGTTTTGTAGTCGAACTCGGATACCGGGGTATAAGAGGAAGGCGAGAAGGGAGAGGGAGGAGCGAACGCACAACCGTAGGGAACGGGGGTGGAGGAATGGCCGGTGAGGAGCCAGCGTGATTGATGTTTTAGTAAGTTTCGTGTCATTAGACGTTTTCTCAGGTTACTGTTTTGAGGCTGACGTTGCAAAATTTTGGTGAGATCACGCTTGTGTGGCTTCGGATGGTTGATCGTTGATGTTACCCGGCTTGGCCACGAGGTTTGAGCTTGGGTTCTTGAGCCGTCCTCCAAATTCCTCCAAATTTCTGTACGAGACCGTGCGAACCCTTCGTGAGGCAGCAGCATCATCGAGGCGCGGCAAATCTTGGCATCCTAGAAAAGCTAGTAAGATAAAATAAATTTTATTAGCAAGGTAAATTTTTTCAATGATGTTTAAGGAATATCAACCAAATTGAACATCTTATCTCATCTCTTAATACTAAACTTGAATACTACTATTAGGACTACATCTCTAAGAGGTACTAGTATACCACTTCCTTATGGTCCTCTTCCTATATAATAGGTATGACCTAAAGGTTTGGGTAGTCCAAGGCATACTGTTAAGAATCCTATTGTAGTGGTATGCAACAGGTAATAATACTTCTCAAGTTGAGTAATAAATTAATAAATCCTACCATGAAGTAACAAAACACCAGAAAGTGTTACAATTTAAACTATATTACTGAAGAAGTAATAACTCTACCAATTCTAAACCAAATTAAATAAAATAAAAGGAATAAGTATAAAGGGAGTAAGAGGAGGTAGTCAGGAATTAAATTAATAAAAGAATTAAAGTAATACTAAGAGAATCTTGAAAGGAGTAAAAAAAGAATACATTGAAAATAAGGTAAGAAAATAAATAAAATAAATGCAGTAGATGGTGCAAACTATATATAAGAAGATACTGGGTATCAATATATTAGTAGGACTTGGTAAAAGCAGCATATTTATACTTTGGAGAAGGTAGTAAAATAGAGGAAGAAGGAATATTGGTAAAATTAAAAGCTTGCATCCTATATGTCCTGTGTGTTAGATGCAGGAGACATACAGAATGCAAATGGTTGATCAGGATGCAAGACAGCAGCCACCACATCAGTAAAAATAAACATGATATTTGATGTGTCGGCTGTCAATTCCAATGTCAGGTTTTATTTTTTTGTATCTACTGTGACTTATACAACCTGACTCCCGTTGCAATATCATCCAACATCAGGTGCATCCTGACTCCTGTTGCAATACTCTTCCTGTAACCCTTACATCTCATCACCACTCATGTTACAAACTGTGACTAGGCAAGGCAGATTTTACATAGCTCGGAATATCGAGCTATAGGTATGTTGGGATTTCACATGACGCATGCTAGTGCACCATAGGTTATTATGTTTACCTGTTTATGACTCACAATTGTGAGTCACATGATGTTATGATTTTTGCACATGACTCAATGTATGAGTCGTGGGTTTCACTCAGGTGATGCAAGTTGCGCACCTGATTTGGTTATTATGTTTTGATTGGTTCTAGGTATATTACGCAGCGACTCATAGCAGTCGGCTGATGGATTTCACATGACTCATGGTTATGAGTCACAGGATTCGCATGAGGCGAAGTATGAGTCACGTCAGGTAAAGAGCTACTATATACAGAGTCACTAGGACCCCGAGTATTAGCTCTTCGCATGTTCTTCTTGTTTATTTCCTACCTTTAAGTTATTACAATAAAACCTACCTTTACACTCATTAAGATTTATCTTAAGAAACCCAAGAATTGTCTTTCCTCCCAAATGGGAAAATGTAACGGACAGGGTCTGAGGGTCGGGTAGCCCAAGGCACACCACGATCAGGACAGGCAGGAATCTGGAGATGCGGTCTAGG